GAGCTGGAGGCGCTGGCACCATCGGCGCCTACACCGCGCGTGCACGTTTCCTGACACGTGAGCAGCGTCTTCTTCGTTTGGAGAGAGAGGAGCGGGAGCGGTTTGAGAGGGCACGGCAGCAGCAGCAGCAGCAGCAGCAGCAGCAGCAGCAGCAGCAGCAGCAGCAGCAGCAGCAGCAGCAGCAGCAGCAGCAGGAGGAGCAGCAGCAGCAGCAGTCTCAGTCGGAGCGTCTGGAGAGAGTAGAGGAGGAGGCACGGCCGCAGCAGCAGGTGCAGTTGCGGCCGCAGCAGGAGAGGGTAGAGGAGGAGCCACGGCCGCAGCAGCAGGTGCAGTTGGAGCCGCAGCTGGAGAGGGTAGAGGAGGAGTCACGGCCGCAGCAGCAGGTGCAGTTGCAGCCGCAGCAGGAGAGCGTAGAGGAGGAGCCACGGCCGCAAGCAGCAGGTGCAGTTGCAGCCGCCGCAGGAGAGAGTAGAGGAGGAGCCACACTTGGAGCAGCAGGAGCAGCAGCAGGGGCAGGTGTCGCCGCAGCAGACGGCCAGAGGAGGCAGAGCAGCAGCGACTGAGAGACCTGCCCGACCTGGCACCTGCACGCTTGGTCCGTAGTCCCTTGCATCGTCCCCGTCGGCTCATCGTTCTCCCTCAGTCGTGCTGTGTCTCCAGAGCCTCGTCGGTCTCGTTACCGTGCTGACAGCCCGTTTCACCCTTGTACTCCGCTCTCGTGTTTCCACCTCATCCGGTCCTTCCACAGCCTCCTGAGTCATCCCTTACTGTGTTTCCCCGACCACTGTCCGACTACCTCCGTGCCTCCCGTCCTGTCGTCTCCCATGTTTTGTCGTCGTTGGTCACTCACCCGACTCCCCCCCCACTGTCTGTCTCGGATCTTGTTACCACTGTTGTTGGATTTGCCTCTTCCCACTGCCTTGACTACGCCTCTCACCTGGGTAAGCGGCACTGCTCGTTCTCCGTCCACTGGGGGTGTTCTTGTTTTTGCCCTTGAGGTCCTAGAGGACAGGCAATTCGAGCTTGGTTTCCTTGTGGCCGCTGGTCCTCATCTCTGCGCCATGCTGCTTGCCCCTGAGGGGGATCCAGACGCCCTTGACATCCCGATCCCTCGCACACACGCCGAGGCGGTCGGGGACCCTGGGCTTCGTACTGGATAGCAGCTGAGGAGACAGAGATGGCATCTTATAGGTCCACAGGCACCAATGTCGACGCCGTCCCACCTCCTGGGGCGAACGTCGTCAGTGGCATGTGGCTCTACAAGGTGAAGCGGCCGCTTGGAGCACCTCCGGTGTTCAAGGAGCGCTATGTGGCGAGAGGCTTCAGTCAGCGCGAGGGGGTAGACTTCTTCCAGACCTTTGCTCCCACCCCGAAGATGACCACTCTTTGGGTGTTGCTGCATATTGCAGCACAGTGCGACTACAAGTTGCACTCCTTGGACTTCTCCACCGCGTTCCTTCAGGGGAGCCAGCACGAGCAGATCTGGCTGCGTCGTCCGCCTGGCTTTACTGCACTTTCCCTCCTGGGACCCAGTGGCAGCTGCGTCGACCAGTCTATGGCCTGCGCCAGGCTCCCCGCAAGTGGCACGCACGCTACGTACGACTCTTGCAGCGCTTGACTTCTTTCCGTCGTCCTTCCGACCCGTCGCTGTTCATCCGCCGTGGCTCGACCCCATTCTTTGTTATGGTATACGCTGACGACCTGGTCTTCGCCACTACCGACCGACGTGCACTGGCCTCCGTGAAGGAGGAACTGCAGAAGAGACACACTTTGCATTGACCTTGGTGAGCTGCAGTGCTACCGTGGCCTGCAGAATACTAGGGACAGGGCAGCTCGCACCATTACGCTGACGCAGTCGCATATGGTCAAGCAGATCCTCACGCGGTTTCGCTTCCCGTTCTCCAAGGTACAGCTCACCCTTCTTGCTGTGGATCATGGGCTCACCCTTCGAACTAGCCACTTGAGTCCAGCGGTCCATATCCTGAGTTGGTGAGTTGTCTAATGTACCCAATGACCTGTACTCGCCCAGACCTAGCTTACCCTCTTAGCGTCCTTGCGCGCTTTGTTGCGCCTGGGAGACACTGACCTTCCCACTGGTACGCTGCTAAGAGGGTGGCGAAGTATGTGGCGAGTACATCAGGCATCGGAATTGTCCTTGGAGAGAAGCAGCCAGTTACAGTCACAGGTTTTTCGGACTCGTCGTGGGCCGACGACGCTGAGTCGCTGCGGTCTACACAGGGTTACTGCTTCAGCCTTGGGACCGGAGCTGTTTCGTGGAGGCCGACTCGGGCGTCGTCCGTCTCCAGTTCCAGCTGTGAGGCAGAGGTGTACGCTGCGGCCATGGCCGCCCAGGAGCTTCGCTAGCTTTCTTTCCTCCTTACTGACCTTTGTGAGCGGCCTCGCTCTCCTCCAGTCTTGTTCGCTGACAACAGGTCTTCTATCCTGTTGTGCGAGGAGCCCAGACTGGTTGGGAAGGCGAAGCATATCCTGCTTCGTTACTTCCATCTGCGAGAGTTGCAGCAGCCGTAGACAGGCACTCGTACGACGTGTTGTCTCTGAGGCCAACACTGCAGATATCTTCACCAAGGCGTTGCCGCCTTGTGACCACCAGCGTTTTCTGCACCCAGCTAGGCCTTGTGTCTACAGGCCCTCACTTGCTTGCGTAGAGATGCTTTGTCTTGTACTCTTGCATCTCACTATCTTTGCTATATCTCTACTTGTGGACTGGCCTTGTGGCCCCTTGCTTACGCAGAGATGCTTGTCTTGCTTGTCTTGTACTCTTGCATCTCCTATATCTGCTATATACTTGCATGTGGACTGGTCTTGTGGCCCCTTGCTTGTTCTCGGACTGTGTGGTGGTATTGAGATTCACCCCGAGAGTTTCTTTGTTCCTGTGAACTGGTCTTGTGACCGTTGCTTGTTCTTGCTGACTGGTCCTGTGACCCTTGCTCTCAGACTGTGTGGTGACTTCGAGATCCACCCTGAGATATATGTTGCTTTCCACAGGACTGCCGTCACCTAGACTATGGGGGTGTGTCAAACTATACTTGTTATAATTTGTTAGTCTAGTCTAGGTGTTACAGTGAGTTATGCAGTAGAGGGTACAACCCCCCTTTAGGGGTTTGCTATATGTTTCCTTGTACTGCTTCGTTCTAGTCATTCATTCAAACGTTTCTATCTTAACAGACCAAGACGGTGGTGCCAGAGGAGGGACAGGTGTGTGAGTAACCGACCCGAGCAAGTCGCAGCTACCTGACCGGACGCGGCCACCTGTGCAGACTCAGTGTGCAGTGTGTACAGGCCAGACCCAGGCCTCCGAGTGAACGTTGCGAGGTGGTCGCCAGTCATTGTGTCCGTACAGATCGCCACGAGCTCGTCCCCAGGAGTGGTGGAAGTGACCAACATATCCTGGAGGACAGAGGTGCTCACCAAGTTCGTAGTGAACGAGGGGAGGTGAAGACCTGTGAGGGAGCCAGAGGGGGCTGCCGGACACGGGAGAACAGTGGAGCCACGTGCAACAACCGGTCCAGAGGAGGGGTCGGCCAGGGTGACAGGGACAGGTGCCGTGACCGGCCTGACTGTGGTGCAGTAGCGGAAGAAGCACCTCGACGCGCCAGAGTCCAGCGTGAAAGTGTGCAAGGCCTCTGCAGGAACTGCACCTGTGCTAGCAGTCTCACAAGCACCTACACTAGAAGCCCCTACGCTACCAGATCTAGGCACACACGAGTAATCATCAACCTCAGCACTAGCAGAAGCATCGTACATAGCATACAAGCCAGCAGAGATCTGGTCCCAATCAAGAGCAAAGACATCTACGCCCTTCTTGAGCAATCCTAGCTAGTCAGGCAACTTTGCCTTATCACCAAACTCCGCGCGAAAGGCGTCGTCGAGGCGGTAGAATCAGCGAGACTCAGTGCCCCATGTCGAAGAGAAAGGCCCCGCCCTCGCTTGGCCGCAGCCGATCTCACCGTCGACGAGGAGAACTCGACGAAGTGGTCGTCGAGGAGGTTCTCGCTAGTCAACGGAATTGGTGGTCGAGCAGGCTCTGCTCGACAGGATCCAGTCGACGACGTATACGGGCGTCGCTGGTCGACGACAGTGGTCGACGAGCCCGTTGAGAAGTGCTAGTCGACGAAGCACCTCAAGGAGCGCTGGTCGACGAGGCCCGTCGAGGAGCGCTGGTCAACGACCGTGGTCGACGAGCCCGTCGAGAGCTGTGGTCGACGAGCTCTACGCGACGATCTCTGGTCGACGAGCTTTGCGCGACGAGCTCTGGTCGACGAGCTCTGCGCGACGAGCTCTGGTCGACGAGCTCTGGTCGACAAGCTCTGGTCGACGAACTGCGCGACGACGTCTGGTCGACGAGCTCTGCTTGGCGAACGCTGTTTGACCAAGCGGGGTCGAGCTGTTCGACCGAACTCGCAGAGGTGTGCAAAACTTCACCCAAGAGGTTTTGGCGAAGTTCGACCTGCGGAACGGCATCACGTGGTCGACTGTGAGCATCTGGCGAAACCGACGACACGTTTTCTACCTGGAACATGCGCAATGTGCCTAACGGTGAAACCGTCAACCTGCACCTACTTGGTAGGTGCGCACATGTGCGCAGATAGTCACCTGCGACTGCAGTGCTGGCAGACCGCGCGCAGTGCAACGCTGGCAAACCGCTCTACTGCAACGTTGGCAAGCCGCTCTTTCGCTGCGCTGGCAGATTTCGCCCTGCAGAGTGCTTGCTAGGTGTTGCATGCCATTCTAGCTTTACCGTTTGCATGCCTCATTGTACTCAATGTTCTTTCAACTTCTTAGTGAAACTCTTGCCAAACTTCTCTGTGAACACAAGCACTCGCACAACCCCGTGCCCTCCTCCGTAGTCCACTCCCATTGTGTAGTGACTCTCCGCATGGTGCGGTGAGCGTGGAAGACCCCGCGTTAGAACCTTCAGAGTAGCCGACTTTTGCGCTAAATACCTCAATCGTTGTAGGCCGGCAACCGTCTAGACCGCCATGGACGACCAAGAAGTTGATGCAGGAGTAGGAGATACTCTGCAGGCGCGGTTGGATGGTGTTCGGGCGCGCCACGAGGCTGGCGAGTACGACGAGGCGGACTTGGAGATTTTGCTTCTAGGAACTCGTGCGCAGTGGGCGCGTGAGCATCCCCCTCCCCGTGCTGAAGCGGACGGCGCGTCTGCCTCTCCCCGACCCGTGCACAACGAAGGTGACGGCGGCAATGTAGTCGGCGGTGGAAGCACGAGGGTTCGCGGAGTGATTCGGGCCGCCGACGTCGGCGTTGGCGGAGTGCAGGCACAAGTGCTGCAGTCGACGGCGGCTGCAGGAAGCTCGAACAACAACATTGATGGTCAACGTCGTTCTCCTCAGCGGAGTGGAGTCAGGCCGACCTCGGCGACTCACGCGTCAGCTGGTCAAGACGGAGGCATCGCGCCGGCGTATGGCTATTTAAAAATTTCGCCAGACAAGATCGCTGTGCCGATGCTGCTTGAAGGTCGACACGACTTGATCACATGGATAGAATCCATCGAACCTCAGCTGGAGATCGCCGGATTGAAGAAGTTCGTCGACGGCAATGTGGAGACGCCGGACAAAGACGACTCTGAACTATGGGCGGAATTTCGCGCTGCTCATCTTCTGACTTTCATGGTCATTTAGAGGTGCTGTTCGCCGTGCCGACTTCGAGTGGACGCCGGCTACCAAGCATGGCACTACATCATGCGCACCTACAAAGCGACCGACGACCTCTACATCAGCCAACTGGAGAAGAGGTTGACCAACATTCGTATCGGCGACCGAGTACTGCAATCGAGCGCGGCGAGTTTTAGCCGATCTACGGATGGCCGGCGTCGACTACTCGGTGGCGTCGTATGTCACGCATGTCATCAGTGGCCTCCCGTCGGGCTACAATCTAATGCGCCGGATGCTGACAATTCCCGGCACGCGCGAGACTCTGAACGAGGACTCGCTTTCGAGCCACATCATCCAGGATGAGTTTATGCAGGAGTCTGAGCGACCCGCAGAACTGCTTCCACAGGCCAACTACGTCGCCCCGACAAAGCAGGGACGCCAACAGGGGCAGCGTGGGCTGTCTGGCGGAGGCGGTGGCTGGAAGTCGTCTAACGCGAAGTCGACGGAGGGCGCCGACCGCGGGAAGTCGGCGAAGAGAGGTGATTGGAGCGGCAGTGGCTCTAGTTGAGAAGGACGCCGCTGCTACATCTGCGATGCTCCCGACCACCTCTCGTACGACTGCCCCGACCGAGATGCGTCTGACGACGACCTGGACGCCAACCGCAGAAAGTCAGATGGTGGCCGTCGTCGTCGAGACAACCAGCCCCGCAAGGAGAAGCAGGCGTCGAAGACGTCTTCGACGAAGGATGCCGACTCCCCTGGCGGCAATGCTCGTGGCGAGGAGGCTTCGTGCTCGATGGTCGGCGTGGTGGAGCCGACGATCTCGCTGGCGCTGGAGGCTGGCGAAGACTTCAAGGCGGTCGCTGCTGATGTGCAGGCCAATCCAACTGTCGTGCTGCTCGACAGCAGCTTCTCCCACCATTTGATGGGGAGGAAGGAGGCCTTAGTCGACATGCAGCCGAGCGGCGACGGTTGCCACGTCCGCGGCTTCAACGGGGCACTTCAGCGCGTCCAAGGCTGAGGCACCGTCGCTCTGCAAGGGGAGGCCGGGAAGCAGGTCCTCGTCCCCGACGTGTTCTACGTTCCGGATGTGCAGGCGAACCTGCTGTCTGCATGCCAGCTCAAGGAGAACGGCGTGAAGCTACAGGACGACGGCGGAGAGATGCTTCTGGTGCCTTCTGCCGGCGATGTCCTTGGTCGAGCACGCTTCTCCGGCAGAGTTCTCTGCACCGACCTGCGCCCCTGCTCGACGAAGTCGACGACGACTTCGACAGAGGTTGTGGCTCTGCGGACTATCGCTTCGACGACGAAATCGACCCCGGACATGTGGCATGCAAGGCTCACACACGTCGGCGTCGACACGATCAAGAGCTCATCGAAGCACGAGGTCGCCGCCGGTCTCGACATCAAGAAGTCGACCGCAGATGATCTGCCGTGTGCCTCCTGCGTCGGTGGTAATCTTGCGCGGCACACCTTCCCCGACAAAGGTGCAGAGGCAGAGAATGCGCTCGACGTAGTGCACGTCGATCTCTGCGAGCCGTTTTGAGTGGCTGCCAACGATGGCGGTCTCTACTTTCTTCTGCTAAAGGACAGGAAGACACGCTACGTGTGGGTGAGGCCGATCGCGAAAAAGAGCGACGTTCTGGTCGTCTTCGCAAAGTGGCTGAAGGTGGTGGAGCGGCAGACATCTCTGAGTCTTCTCCCATAGCTGTTGCATGGTGTTGACGAAGTCATGTGCGGCTTCTGACCGAGGAGGGGAGTTCCTTGGTCGAGCCTTCACCGACCTCGTCGAGGACAAAGGCATCCTCCACAATCTCACGTGCCCCTACACTCCGCAGTAGAACGGTATGGCAGAGCGAGAAACGCGCACGGTCGTCGAAGTCGTGCGAACGATGCTTCTGCACATGGGCGTGAAGCACCACTGGTGGCACCTTGCTCTGCGACAGGCCGTCTGGGTGCGCAATTGCCTCGAACGGGTTTCTCTGCCTTCGGGGACAACGCCGCACGAGCTGCTGTTCGAGAAGAAGCCGGATTTGACGCTGGCGCTCGTGTGGGCTGCATGGTGCAGTTCATGGTCTCCGAGCAGCAGCGCGGCGAGAAGTTGGCGCCGAAGGCCCGTTGGGGTCTTCACCTCGGGGTGTCGCCAGAGAGCAAGGGCTGGGAGGTGCTCGACCTGACTGACAACAAAGTCGTCACGACGGTCGAAGCGATCTTCTACGAAACCTTGTCGATGGAGAAATGGAGGGCAGAGAACAGACCGGCGTCGACGAGGACGCCCTCTAACCCGCCGACTGATTCCTCCTCGGTACACCCTCCACTTCTCGCCGCGGACAGCGAGCTTCATGAGGAGGACGCAGATGAGTTCCCGCGACCCTCCCCTCCCCTGCCCGTCGTCGACCTTCCGGCGAAGGAATCCCCGTCGGCCGCCGGTGATGAGGGGAGACTTGGTGCGTCGCCTGCGGCGCCGACCGGTTGCATCGCCGGTGGCCAACGTGACGCCGAGAAGGTCAGCGACGGGAAGCGGCAGACGACAGGGGAGCCGTCGGCGACTAAGCCGACTTCAGAGAAGCCGTCGGCAGAGGTGCCACCTTCAGGGGAGCCATCGGCAGAGAAGCCGACCCTGGGGGAGCGGGCGGTAGAGAAGCTGCCGGCAGGGGAGCAGCTCGGCGATGACTCGTCGAGCGATGTAGTGGAAGTCGTCGGTGCAGCCGGCGGCGATGAAGGGGAGCTGTCGACAGGGGAGCAGTCTGACAACAGCGACGAGGTGGAGGTCCCAGTCGAAGAGGCAAAACAGGGCGGTCTACCCGCTCCAACATCGGCAAGCCGCCGGAGAAGCTGAGCTACCACGCTTGTCTGCCACCGACCTCCTACAGCACGCTGCTCGACGACGCAGAGGCCGACGTCGATCTGCCGGAGCTTGACCCCAACATGCACGCCGACCCTGATCACCGCTGGGACATCGCGACGATGACGGTGAAGGAGGCGTTGGCGAGCTGGAAGAGCAAGGCGGTGAAGGCTGCCATGGACGAGGAGATCTGCAGCCTCATCGGCATGGGCACGTGGGAGCTGGTCGAAACGCCCGCGCGGCGTGAACATCATGAAGAACCGATGGGTGCTCATCGACGACACGGTCGCCCGCGAGAAGGCTCGCCTGGTCGTGAAAGGCTTCACGCAGGTCTACGGCGCAGACTACGACGAAACGTATACGCCGATGGGGAGCTACGTCACGCCGCGAATTTTCCTCAGTATCGTAGCCGTCCTCGACCTGCATCTGATGCAGCTCGACATGAAGAACGCGTTTCTGCAGAGCAAGCTGGATTGCGTCCTCTACATGTACCAGCCCGACTACTTCAACGACGGCACCGGCCGCGTCTGGAAGCTGCTGAAGAGCCGCTACGGGCTGAAGCAGTCGCCGCTGCTGTGGTACATGTCAAACATTATATATGTTACTGCTGTGTAGGCTACAGTGGGTTAGCCTTTAGGGGTACATTACTCTAGGGTTTCCTACTTGTACTCTCAATCTTTCTAGTTCACACACTTCACTCATTCTGACATGGTATTACGAGCCTAGGCTAGGAACCTAGGACCGTTCTTAGGGCCCACCGTTTCCGCTCGAAGCGCCCTCGTGCGCCGTCCCTTCCTAGCGCCCTCGTGCGCCTCGCTCCTAGTGCGCCCTCGCGCGCCCTCCTCTTCTCTTACGCTGCCCGTGCGCAGCCGCTAGCAGCCCGCACGCGCGGCCCGTTCTTAGGTCGCGTAGCCCGCTAGCCGCCCGCGTGCGGCCTGTTTCTTGAGCGCGCGGCCCGCTAGCCGCTCGCGCCGTCGTCGCCGCCCACGCGCAGCCCGCTCTGGCCTCGCGCGGCTCTTAGCGCGGCCCGCTAGCCGCCCGTCGACCGCCGCCGCGTCCCCTTAGGCCGCCGCCCGCACGATCGCCGCCGCTAGCACGAACGCAGCCGCGGCCCCGCGCGCAGCCGCACCCTAGGCGCCGCCGCGTGTCAAACATTATATGTTTACATTGTGTAGGCTATAGTGGGTTTAGCCTTAGGGGGTACAACAAACTTAGGGTTTCCTACTTGTACCCAACTTTCTGCTAGTTCATCCACACTTGTTCATTCTAACATGGTATCACAAGCCTAGGTTGCCACCTAGGACCGCTTACTACTACGGGCCCACTATTCCGCTAGAAGCGCCCTCGTGCGCCCTACCTTACGTGCGCCCTCGTGCACCTTTCTCTGCTCGTGCGCCCTCGTGCGCCCTTTTTCCTGCTAGTGCGCCCTCGCGCGCCCCGCCCTTCGTTCTGCCTGCGTGCCGTCCTGCAGCCCTTGCGCTGCCTCCTGCTGCCCTAGTACGGCCCTCGAGCCGCCCCTACAGGTCCGTCAGGCCCCCCGAGCCGCCTCTGCAGACCCGTCAGGCCCCCGGGCCGCCTCTGCAGGCCCGTCAGGCCCGAGAGCCGCCCCTGCAGACCCGTCAGGGCCGCGCGCAGCCTCTGCCCGACCGCGCGCCGCCCCTACAGGCCCTCGCCGCCCGCCACGTCGCCCTGCCCGCGACGTCGCCACCTGCCCGCGGCGTCGCCACCTGCCCGCGGCGTCGCCACCTGCCCGCGGCGTCGCCACCTGCCCGCCGCGTCGCCCTGCCCGCGGCGTCGCCACCTGCCCGCCGCGTCGCCCTGCCCGCGGCGTCGCCCCTGCCCGCGGCGTCGCCACCTGCCCGCGGCGTCGCCACCTGCCCGCGGCGTCGCCACCTGCCCGCCGCGTCGCCCTGCCCACGGCGTCGCCACCTGCCCGCCGCGTCGCCCTGCCCGCGGCGTCGCCTCTGCCCGCCGCGTCGACCTGCCCGCGGCGTCGCCCCTGCCCGCCGCGTCGCTCTGCCCGATGCGTCGCCCCTGCCCGCGGCGTCGCCCCTGCCCGCCGCGTCGCCCTGCCCGCCGCGTCGCCCTGCCCGCGCGTCGCCCCTGCCCGCTGCATCGCCCTGACCTACCCCGCGCCTGGAGCAGCCGCCTCTGGAGCAGCCGCCCCTACAGCAGCCGCCCCTGGCCCCTGGAACAGCCGCCCCTGCAGCAGCCGCCCCTGGCCACTGGAGCAGCCGCCCCTGGAGCAGCCGCCCCTGGCCACTGGAGCAGCCGCCACTGCAGGAGCCGCCCCTGGCCACTGGAGCAGCCGCCACTGCAGGAGCCGCCCCTGGCCCCTGGAGCAGCCGCCCCTACAGCAGCCGCCCCTGGCCACTGGAGCAGCCGCCCCTGGAGCAGCCGCCCCTGGCCACTGGAGCAGCCACCACTGCAGGAGCCGCCCCTGGCCCCTGGAGCAGCCGCCACCGCAGTCGCCTCCGTCGTGCGCCTGCCCTTCCCACCACTGGTGAGCACTGCCCTGCCCGTGCTGCTACTGCTGTTACTGCTGCTGCTACTGCTTCTACTGTTGCTCCTGGCGTGGCCAGATGCAACTCCAGGGCCGTCCGCGTGTGTCCCTCACGCCCCAGCAGCTTCGTGAGTGGTACGCCAGTTGGGGTTGTCGGGGTGGCAGTAGTGGGAGTCGTCCTGGAGTGGGAAGTTCGGGAGTTTCTTGTAGTGGCCCGGTGCAGCAGCAGCGTCGTCTACGCGAGGCTCTTTCGCCCCAGCAGCTTCGTGAGTGGTACGCTCAGAGTAGAGGGTCACTGCGTACTGCTCGCTGCCCGTACGTCATTCGCACAGGTGTCCGGAATGGTCAGCCTTGCGGGACACGTGGTCACATAGAGTCCCACTGCTTCGCCCGTCTGGGCGACGCTTGGCGTATAGAGTTTGGCGACGACGCTGAGCTCCCCGACTGGGTGGAGCTGCTTAGGCAGAGGGCAGATATCTATGCTCTTGACTATGATGCTATCCTCACTGCTATGTATGCATTGTCTACTAGTGCTGAGAGTGCCTGTCACCTGTGTGTGCCGCCTGACCCCGGTATCCAGTCTGCTGCTCTAGGTACTGGTGAGGCTGCTGCACTAGGTGCTCGTGTGTCTGTTGCCTCAGGTGCTGGTGAGGCTGCTGCTCTAGGTGCTAGTGTGTCTGTTGCCCCAGGTGCTGGTGAGGCTGCTGCTCTAGGTACTCGTGAGTCTGCGCCCTCTGGTACTGCGTCTACTGAGGCACTGCACACCTTCACACTGGACTCAGGCGCTTCCCGCTGTTTCTTTCGTGACCGGACTGCCCTTGAGCAGCTTGCTCGGCCGGTTGCAGTCTCCCTCGCTGACCCCTCTGGGGGTCCGGTCATTGCGACCTCCTCTACTGTTCTCCCTTGTCCTGCGGTCCCGTCGGGCACACTGTCAGGTCTCTACCTCCCCTCGTTCTCTACGAACTTGGTGGCGGGTAGGGCGCTCCAGGACGAGGGTGTCCACCAGTTCACCCCTGCCTACGAGCGCGTGACACACTGCACGTGTGCTCGGACGGGTCGCCACCTGGCTACCTTCACTCGGTTGCCGGGGTCGGACCTGTACACACTGACCACTGAGTCCCCTCAGGTTAGCGTCTGCGTCTGCGTCAGGTCAGCTGTCGGCCCCCTGCTCGTGTCGCTCTCTGGCGCACGAGACCGTCCTCTGGCACCACCGCCTTGGTCACCCGTCAGTGCAGCGCCTTCGTGGCATGCACTCCCGGTACCTTGTCTCTGGTCTTCCCAGGGTTCTCCCTCCCCTCCCACCCTCGCCTGCTCCTCCCTGTCTTCCCTGTGTCGAGGGGCGGCAGCGCGCCGCTCCTCACTCCTCCTCGTTTCCCCCGACGACTGCTCCCCTGCAGACGCTCCACATGGACGTGTGGGGCCCAGCCCGCGTTCGTGGACAGGGTCACGAGAGGTACTTCTTGATAGTTGTTGACGACTACTCGCGCTACACCACGGTCTTCCCCTTGCGCACCAAGGGTGAAGTCCCGGATGTTTTGATCCCTTGGATCCGCGCTGCCCGTCTCCAGCTCAGCGAGAGGTTCCACTCGGACTTTCCTGTCCTGCGTCTGCACTCTGACAGAGGTGGGGAGTTTTCCTCCGACCTCTTGAGGGCCTTTTGTCAGGGGGAGGGCATTGAGCAGTCGTTCACGCTTCCGGCCTCTCCACAGCAGAATGGGGTTGCTGAGCGCCGCATTGGCTTGGTCATGGAGGTCGCTCGTACCTCCTTGATCCATGCGGCTGCCCCCCACTTTCTGTGGCCGTTTGCGGTCCGGTACGCTGCGCATCAGCTCAACCTCTGGCCCCGTGTCTCCTTGCCGGAGACCTCGCCCACACTGCTGTGGACGGGGAAGGTTGGCGATGCGTCGCGTTTCCGGGTCTGGGGATCTCGAGCTTTTGTCCGCGATACGTCCGCGGACAAGCTCTCCTTCCGCGCTGTTCCTTGTGTCTTCCTTGGCTTTGTCCCGGACGCGTCTGGTTGGCAGTTTTACCACGCCACCTCGCACCGTGTCCTACCCTCTCAGGACGTCACTTTTGACGAGTCGGTGCCCTACTACCGCCTCTTCCCCTACCGCACTGCCCCGCTCCCCCCCCCGCCTCTCTTCCTCGCGCCAGGTGCTGCTGTGGTAGACCCCCTCCCCCCTCAGGGTGCCGCTCCCTCAGGTGTGTCCCAGGTAGACCCAGTTGAGCCTGTCGAGGTAGCTGTCGACTCTCGTCCTGCTAGGGGTGCTGAGCCTGAGCGTGCGGAGCCTGGGGGTGCGGAGTCTGGGGGTGCGGAGCCTGCGGGTGCTGAGTCTGGGGGTGCTGAGTCTGGGGGTGCTGAGTCTGGGGGTGCTGCGACTGAGAGTGCTACACCTGGAGGCGCTCTTTCCTCACAGCAGCTGCATGAGTGGTACTTACAGTACTGCAGCCTCAGGAGAGGTGCTGCTGGAGCTCGTGCTCGTGCTTCCCCTCCTAGGCGGGAGCTGCCCTCTCCCCAGCGGCTCCGAGAGTGGTACGCTCGTCGCTGCAGTCTCCGGAGTGGCGCTACTAGTGTTACGGACCCTGCAGCTGGAGGTGCTGCTGGTGCTGGAGCTGCTGGAGGTGCTGCTGCTGCTGGCGGTGCTGTTGGCGCTGCTGGAGGTGCTGCTGGTGCTGCTGGAGCTGCTGGAGGTGCTGCTGGTACTGGTGCTGCTGGTGCTGGTTCTGCCGGAGCTGCTGGAGCTGCTGGAGGCACTGCTGCTACTGGCGGTGCTGCTGGAGGTGCTGCTGGAGTTGCTGGAGGTGCTGCTGCTGCTGGCGGTGTTGCTGGCGCTGCTGGAGGTGCTGCTGGTGCTGGTGCTGCTGGAGCTGCTGGAGGTGCTGCTGGTACTGGTGCTGCTGGTGCTGGTGCTGCTGGAGCTGCTGGAGGTGCTGCTGGAGCTGCTGGAGGTTCTGCTGGTACTGGTGCTGCTGGTGCTAGTACTGCTGGAGCTGCTGGAGGTGCTGCTGGTGCTGGAGCTGCTGGAGGCACTGCTGCTGCTGGCGGTGCTGCTGGAGCTGCTGGAGGTGCTGGAGCTGCTGGGACTGGAGCTGCTGCGGGGGTTGGAGCTGGAGTTGCTGAGCGGCCGCGGCCGTACTACGTTCCGCTCCTTCAGCAGGTTCTTGGTCTCCCGCCCTCTACTGGTCCTACTCCTCCCCTACTGAGTCCACCGCCTGTCCAGTCCCAGTCACAGTTACAGCCTGCCTCTCCGCTGCTTGGTCCTTCTCCTTACACTGCGCCGACGGGTAGTCTTACTGAGCGTCGTGAGCCTGAGTCTTGTCCTCCGTCGCCTGTGTCTAGTCCAGAGTCGCCTGTGTCCGGGCTGTCCGCGCTGGTCGTCGTGCTCCGCGTGAGCGTCCTCCTCCTGTCCTTGGCACTCACTATATGACCCTGCGTCCGTCCACTGCTCCACAGCGTGTCCCTCTGCCGTCTCCTCCTGCGTCCTCTCTTCCTGACGTTGCTGACCCGCCGTCAGACCTTACTCTAGCTGCCAGTCCTACTGTCGCGCGTCTCCTTACCACTGTTGTCACTGACCCTACCTTTGAGTCCTCTGCTGCGTCTGCTCTAGTCGCTGAGCTTGTTGACTTTGCTGCCGCCTGTCGTCTAGACTACGCCGCTAGCCTTGTTGCTGAGTCTGAGTCTGTCTGTCCTCTGTCCGTCGGGGGTGAGTGTGCTCTTGGCACGGACGTCCTTGAGGACAGACAGGAGGAGTTTGAGTGCTTTGCTGCTGCTTTACCTCATCTCGTGTCCATGCTGATTGCCCCTGAGGGAGACCCGGATCCACCAGACATCCCGACCCCACGCTCCTACGCAGAGGCGATGGAGGGTCTCTACTCCTCTCAGTGGCAGACAGCCATGGACGCAGAGATGGCTTCCTGGAAGTCCACAGGCACCTACGTCGACGAGGTTCCCCCACCTGGGGCGAACATCGTCAGTGGCATGTGGATTTTCAGGGTGAAGCGGCCGCCGGGTTCTCCGCCTGTCTTCAAGGCGCGTTACGTTGCACGAGGCTTCAGTCAGCGAGAGGGAGTTGACTTCTTCCAGACCTTCTCCCCGACCCCGAAGATGACCACTCTTCGGGTTCTGCTGCACGTCGCTGCTCAGCGTGACTACGAGCTCCACTGCCTTGACTTCAGCACTGCGTCCCTACAGGGCACCCTGCACGAGGAGATCTGGCTGCGCCGCCCACCTGGCTTCACTGGGTCGTTCCCTCCTGGTACCCAGTGGAGCCTCCGGCGGCCAGTCTACAGTCTCCGCCAGGCACCCCGTGAGTGGCACGACACACTGAGGACTACTCTTGCTGCTCTTGGGTTTGCTCCTTCTACTGCTGACCCGTCGCTGTTTCTACGCACCGACACCACTCTGCCGCCGTTCTACGTTCTCGTGTACGTAGACGACTTGGTCTTTGCTACTGCTGACACTGAGGCACTCGCCCACGTGAAGTCGGAGCTGCAGAAGAGACACACGTGCACAGACCTGGGTGAGCTGACAAGCTATCTTGGCTTGCGGATCACCCGGGACAGAGCACAGCGCACCATCACCTTGACTCAGTCACACATGGTGCAGCAGGTCCTTCAGCGCTTCCGCTTCACGTACTCCTCGCCTCAGCCCACTCCTCTGCCTACCGGTCACTCGCTCTCAGCTCTGCCTTCGGATGAGTCCGTAGAGCCGAGTGGCCCGTATCCAGAGCTTGTGGGCTGCCTCATGTACCTGATGACCTGCACTCGACCTGACCTAGCCTACCCTCTTAGCATCCTAGCACGCTATGTCGCTCCTGGCCGTCACCGGAAGGAGCACATGGATGCCGCTAAGAGGGTGTTGCGCTACTTGTGCAGTACGTCGGGCATGGGGCTTGTGCTTGGAGGACGGCGCGACGTTGTCCTCACTGGACACTCAGACGCTTCTTGGGCTGACGACAGGCTACTCAGCGGTCGTCTCAGGGTTACACCTTCAGCCTTGGCTCTGGCTCAGTTTCTTGGCGTTCTACACGCTCTTCCTCTGTTCTCAGCTCCAATTGTGAGGCTGAGATCTACGCCACAGCCATGGCTGCCCAGGAGCTTCGCTGGCTCACCTACCTGCTGACCGACCTGGGAGAGCGGCCTCGTTCTCCTCCAGTGCTGTACGTTGACAACAAGGCCGCCCTTGCCTTGTGTCAGGAGCACAGACTGGAGCACAGAACGAAGCACATCGCTCTGCGCTACTTCCTTGCTCGAGAGCTGCAGCAGCGTGGTCAGCTTCGTCTTTCGTACGTGGCCACTCGGGCCAACACTGCTGATGTGTTCACCAAGGCGCTTCAGCCTTGTGATCATCAGCGTTTCTGTACTGTTCTAGGCCTTGTGCCTACTGTCCCTCACTTGCTCACTTCTTGACTTTGCTTGTACTATGATCTCTATATATATACCTGCATGCTTACATTTGCTAGGTTGTGATCACTGTACCTCTTGTTATATTATCAAACTGCATGTGAACTGGTCTTGTGACCGCTTGCTTGTGCTCGGAATTTGTGTGGTATCCTTGAGATCCACCCTGAGCTTTGCTTTGCTTTGCCTTGCTTTGACTGGTCTTGTGACCATCTGGTTGTCTCCCACTTAGCCTATGGGGGTGTGTCAAACATTATATGTTTACATTGTGTAGGGGGTACAACAAACTTAGGGTTTCCTACTTGTACCCAACTTTCTGCTAGTTCATTCACACTTGTTCATTCTAACACCGCGCACCGTGCATAGGCCCGCCGTCGCGCCGCCCTACCTGCCCGAGTCGCGCCGCCCTGATCGAGCCGCGCCGCCCCACCTGTAGCAACTGCTGTTCATGTTCCTGCTACAGCTCCTACTGCTACTACTGCTACTGCTACCGCTACTGCTGCTACTGCTACTGCTGCTACTGCCACTATGGCTAGTCCTACCGTTCTCACCTTTGACTCTGAGGGCCGTCCGATTAAGTTTGACGTTTGGCTCGATGACATGCACCTGTTCCTCCAGATCACTGCCAAGGACGATGTTTCCCTGTTTGACCACACGTCCGGCGTAGCTCTCGCACCTGCTGCTACCGCTGACAGTACAGCTCGCTCACAGTGGCAGACCCGTGACGCTCACGCTCGCCTAGCCGTTCGCAGCCACCTGCCGTTAGATGAGCGCGAGCACTTTGGCCAGCATAAGACCGCTAAGGAGCTGTACGATGCTGTAGTTGCGCGCTACTCCTCCCCAGCTACTGCTGCGATAGGCCGTCTCTCGCTGCCCTATCTCTTCCCCGATCTGTCCGCCTTTGCCACTGTAGCCGACCTCATCACTCACCTCCGTACTAGTGATCTCCGCTACCGTGCTGCGCTTCCTCCTGATTTCCTCGCCAAGAACCCTCCCCCGATGTACCTCACACTCTACCACCTAGTCACTCACCTAGTGACTCCCTTCGTACTGTCAGGGACCACTTTCTTGCCCTCTCCCCCTCTGACCTCACTGTCGACCTGCTCGAGAAGGAACTCCTTGCAGCTGAGAAGAGTATTGTAGCTGTAGGTGCCTCTCGTGGCGACCCTCGCACTCCCTTCTTTGAGGGGTGTTCCCCCGTCCCCCTTCTCCCCTCCATTGCATCTGCTGCTGCTGTCGACTACCTCGGTGCTGAGGAGGTCGGGGCTGCGTCTGCTCCCAGTTGGAGGCGCAAGGGTGGCAAGGGCAAGGGGGGCAAGGGTGGTGGAGGTGGAGGCGGGGGCGGCGGTAGTGGAGGGGGTGGAGGAGGCGGGGGTGGTGGCGGTGGTGGGAGTGGTGCTAGTGGGGGGGGGGGCAGTGGCGGAGGCGGGGGTGGTGGCGGCGTCGGCAGTGGGGGTGGCGAGGGTGGTGGTGGCGGGGGTGGCGGCGGTGGAGCTGGTGGCGGGCGCGGTGGAGCGGTGCAGCGTGGAGGGGTCGGTGGTGGCCAGAGGCAGCAGCAGCAGCGTCCCATCGAGACCCCGTCCCCCCAGCAGCTCCGTGAGTGGTACTCTCAGCGTGGGGGGTCTGGGGGTGGAGGTACTTGCCCGTACCTTATCCGCACAGGTGACCGCACTGGCCAGACCTGTGGGAGGTTCCACACAGCACACCGCTGCTTCTTTCGTCTCGACGACGCCTGGCGTGCACAGTTTCCTGACGCCACTGAGCTGCCCCGCTGGGCTGATCTGATGAAAAAGAACATTGATATCTTTGCACTTGACTTTGATGCTATCCTTGGGGCCATGTATGCATTGACTATTAGTGTTGAGGGTGACTCTTACCTGCGTGTACCGCCAGACCCGGGTATTGGGACCAGTGAGGCTGCCGCTCTAGGTGCTAGTGCGTCTGCTGCCCTAGGTACTGGTCAGGCTGCCGCTCTAGGTTCTAGTGCGTCTGCTGCCCTAGGTACTGGTCAGGCTGCTGCTCTAGGTGCTAGTGAGTCTGCGGCTCCAGGTGCTCGTGCGTCTGCGCCTGCTGGTACTGCGTCTACTGAGGCACTGCACACCTTCACACTGGACTCGGGTGCTTCCCGCTGTTTCTTTCGTGACCGCACTGCCCTTGAGCAGCTTGCTCGGCCAGTTGCAGTCTCCCTCGCTGACCCCTCTGGGGGTCCGGTCATTGCGACCTCCTCCACTGTCCTTCCTTGTCCTGCGGTCCCGTCGGGCACACTGTCAGGTCTCTACCTCCCCTCGTTCTCTACGAACTTGGTGGCGGGTCGTGCGCTCCAGGACGGGGGTGTCCACCAGTTCACCCCTGCCTTCGAGCGCGTGACACACTGCACGTGTGCTCGGACGGGTCGCCACCTGGCTACCTTCACTCGGCAGCCGGGGTCGGACCTGTACACACTGACCACCGAGTCCCCCCAGGTAGCTGCGTCTGCGTCTGCGTCAGGTCAGCTGTCGGCCCCCTGCTCGTGTCGCTCCCTGTCGCACGAGACCGTCCTCTGGCACCACCGCCTTGGTCACCCGTCAGTGCAGCGCCTTCGTGGCATGCACTCCCGGTACCTTGTCTCTGGTCTTCCCAGGGTTCTCCCTCCCCTCCCACCCTCGCCTGCTCCTCCCTGTCTTCCCTGTGTCGAGGGGCGGCAGCGCGCCGCTCCTCACTCCTCCTCGTTTCCCCCGACGACTGCTCCCCTGCAGACGCTCCACATGGACGTGTGGGGCCCAGCCCGCGTCCGTGGACAGGGTCACGAGAGGTACTTCTTGATAGTTGTTGACGACTACTCGCGCTACACCACGGTCTTCCCTTTGTGCACCAAGGGTGAAGTCCCTGATGTTTTGATCCCTTGGATCCGCGCTACCCGTCTCCAGCTCAGCGAGAGGTTCCACTCAGACCTTCCTGTACTGCGTCTGCAATCTGACAGAGGTGGGGAGTTTTCCTCCGACCTCTTGCGGGGCTTTTGTCGTGAGGAGGGCATTGAGCAGTCGTTCACGCTTCCGGCCTCTCCACAGCAGAATGGGGTTGCTGAGCGCTGCATTGGCTTGGTCATGGAGGTCGCTCGTACCTCCTTGATCCATGCGGCTGCCCCCCACTTTCTGTGGCCGTTTGCGGTCCGATACGCTGCGCATCAGCTCAACCTCTGGCCCCGTGTCTCCGTTCCGCAGACTTCGCCGACACTGCGTTGGACGGGAGAGGTTGGCGATGCGTCGGTGTTCCGGGTCTGGGGATCTCGTGCTTTCGTCCGCGATGCGGGCGTCGCCCGCAACGACAGAGACGACGATCACAGCGCGACACACCCCGAAGCGACGAATGCGGCCAGAAGCCAACCTCGCGTCACGATTTCGGTGCCGACCGGCGAGTCAGCACTGCCGTCGCCGATGCCGCTGAATCCGCAGCGTCCGCCTTGCTTTGACCCGAGTCAACGGGGCAGTCCTACCATTCAGGCGTGGTTATTCACCATGAACGTCTTCTTCGACGCAAACTACGTCTCGGAGGATACGGCGAAGATTCGTTACGCCGTGTCGTTGCTGCGAGGACCCGCCATGGATTGGTGGCGCGTCATCGTCACGAAGCCAATGGACTACGCGACTCTACTGACACGGGAAGGACAAACCGGACCCTGGGCGCCGTCGTATTTCGTGGAGGTGCCCCAATATCGCACGTGGGACGCGTGGTGCGCAGGTCTGCGTGCTCGTTTCGAGCCGATTGCGGCTTCGATCGCGACGCGTCAGAAGCTCCGCTCTTGGCGCCAGCTCGGTTCCGTCCAGGACTACACCAGCGGGTTTCTGGTACTGTGTGAGCAGGTGGGCTATATGCACGAAGGCGAGCGCATCGACCGCTACATCGGCGGCCTGAAGCACGAAACCGCCCAGGAAATCCAGCTCCGCAACGTCACCGATTGTCAGGAGATTCTCGCTATGGCGGAGAAACTCGATTTCTTCCGCCGACCGAGACCGGGGTCCTACGGAAATAAAAGCAACTGGGGACATCGGTCTCGTGGGACGAACGAGGGCGCTACGATACGAGCCGTCGCCGCGAATGCCGCTGCCGCACCGTTTAAAGGGCGCTGCTTCGCGTGCAATCGGCCGGAACACCGCAAAAGCGAATGCCCGGAAAACGATAAGGGAAAGGGGGAAGCTGAGCAGCAGAAACAGACCAAGCAGCAGGGAAACGCTGGGAGTCAGTAGCAGACGGGCGCTCTACTAACAGGTCACGCCGCTCGCCCGACCCAACCGACCCTCACCGAGTGATTGTGCCGGTTCACCGCAATCGACCACACCCGGCCGAATAAGGAGGGTACCGCGGTAGATAGCCCCATACTGCTTAGTGGGGAAATTGGGACATACTTAGTTAAAATCGTCGTAGACGGGGGAGCCAGCCACAGCCTCATCAACACTGCCACATCACGGAAACTGAAACTGCCACTGGACAGGTGTTTGCCTGAGATTGACGCAAGACTGGTCGACGGCACGCCACTGGCGATACGGGAACGTCTGGACCGAGTTCGAATTCGATGCGGGGGTAACTTCACAATTAGCCAGAAAATGCTCGCAACGACCCTCGACGGAACCGACATTTTACTCGGCCGTGATTGGCTGCGACGACACAACCCGCGAATCGACTGGACGACAGGTGACTGAACTGTGCGAGTGAACGGTAACAACATCGCCCTACCTCGCTGGGGCTCGCCTGAGTCTTCGTCGGTGCGTGTCAACGCGATCACGATGAAACGCGCCGTAGCAGCAGGAGCTGACGTGTATGCGGTTGACATTCGAGAAGCCGAGGCAGCAGACAAAAGGGGGGGTTTACAGAAACTGCTCGCCGACGTACCGGATGACTTGGCAGCGCTACTGAAGCAGTACAGTGGGATTTTTCCGGACGATCTGCCGACAGGACTGCCACCTCAGCGACCGCACGACCACAGGATAGAACTAGAACCGAGGGCACAACCGATAGTACAGCGACAGTTCCGA